ATGCCAGCCCAAACATTCACGGAAAATTGTTGCTGATGATTGCCTTCTGCAATTTCATGTGGATTTTCTTCAGCCCATATGTGGTTATTGTGAAAATTGAAAATACCATCTCTCGAGAAAGATGCTTCATCGGTAAACATAACTTCGGCTCCAAACTGAGACATGACATTTTCCCATAGTCGTTGGTGAATGAGTTGAAACAAGTTATGATGTGGTACTTGGCGATCACGATGTCTTTCTTGATACAACCGCCTTGCTTCTGCCGAATTACCGCTCGCCATTCCGTAAAGGTAATGCATTTCGCACATTTCAGCGTTTGTGTAATTCATTTTTACTTTTGTAATACAAATTGACTTTTCGCAGGTACAAACTAATTGTTATTTTGACAGGAGGTAGCTTTTGTTTTAAAATTTAAAGCCTACTTGATAAAAAAAATTATAATACATTTAGTAAAATAAAAATTTTATTTAAAAAAATTGACCATGTTTTTCAACATAAAAGTAGATTTTTCTCGAAAACGGTCAACTTTAGAGCTTATGACCAAGAGTACTTTTTTTGTGTAGAAAACATTGGCGGTTCAAATGGGCGTCTCAAAACCGTACTTTTTCCAGTGGCGTAGAAGTTGGGGAGAAAAACACCCACTTCCCCTTCAAAATCTTCACCAATTATGACTTTGAAAAAAAATTTTTCTCGCACAGAACATAGCTTATTATGAGTAGTAAATGCTTACAAAAGCTGTTTTCTGTACGATAAACGGTTCCGGAGATATTCGCAAAAAACGAAATTTTTTTTACAATTTCAACACCCTGTATCTCGAAAATTGTGCATTTTAGAGGGTAAGTTAATACAAGCTTTTTTTCAAATTTTTGGACGAGCTATCACATCCTGAAGTCCTGCGCATATATTATGAAACACCCTGTATATATACCGGGTGGGGCATTTATCTCGAGACAAAATAATATCTTGGACTCGATTATTTCGGAAAAAGTTTCAGACAAAAATTATAGGGCACCGAGGGGGCCATTGAAAGGTCCATATTACGACTTCCGGTCTAGACCGGAAGTTGATTTTTTTAAATGGAAACATCTATTTTTCATCACGGATTCCGACTGAACGAAAAAAACTAATTTTTATTTTTTTGTTGTAACCCATATTTTGACCATAAAATGGCCATAAAAAACAAGAATTGGAAATGGAAAATGTTTATTTCCTTTCTCAAGACATAAACGTGAGATATAATTAGAAAACCATCAGAAAAGAGAAATATAAAAGCATTGTTAAAAATTTTCGTACATATACTGATTTAAAAAAAAAAACAATTATAACTATAGTCACATTATTAAGAAACAAATTTTCGAGTCAATACAATGAAAAGGAGCCATGCCTGTGAAAAGGGTGTCCACTTTTTATATATTATACAGGGTGGTCCGAATTTTATGCAGGAAACTTCGAGGACAGATAGATCTCTTTAAAATAATAGGAGTTTGCCTTATAAACATAGGTCTGGAACGGCCTCGTTTTAGAGATACAGGATGTTGAAGTTGTTAAAAAAAAATGATTTCTTGTTTATATCTCAGGAATCTATTAACCGATCTTAATAAAATTTGGTACAAATAATGTATGATAGTAGGCCTTGCATTCCCTAAAATATGAGCTCTAAAGGTTTAACGAGTGGTGTACAACTGGACAAGGGTCATCCCCTTTCTATAAAAAATTCCTACGCCACTGTATTTTTTACAAGTTATTGTAACAAATTTATATTCTAATGCACAAAATACGTAAAAAAGGTCACTTGAATTTTTTCCCTAAGATTCACTATTTTGAAGTTATTCATACCAATACAATCCCCTTGTGGCATACCATAATATTACAAAAATATTTATGTTTATGCTTTAAAGTAAGTGCAATTTGTAAGCACATCAACAAAATTCTTTCCACATCACCTGTGGGGTAGTGTTCCTAGTCTGTTTTAGTTTTTCCTAGAGGCATTATCCTTACAAATAAGAATAATTTAAATCAAAATAATAATAAAAATATATTTACCACGCAACAACAACTAAACAAGAAACAAAATTAACATTACGTATTTACAGCAATTATTTAAAATGCGAACCACCCACATCAATACATTTCTGACATCTTCTATTAATGGAACTAATTGAAGCTAATATCATGTGGTGGTTTTCTTTTAATTCATTACACTCGTCTTCTATTCGCTGCAGTAGTTGTGATCTAGTATCTATTGGAGTAGAGTAAACTTTTCAGATAGGTCACCCCAAACATAGAAGTCCAGGGGGTTTAGATCTGGCGATCTGGCTGGCCATGACACTGGACCCTTTGCACCATTATGGTTGACATTGGCATTTGGTCTTCTACCTATCCATCACCCCATATAATTTTCATTAAGCCATTCTTGTATTATTCTTCTAAAATGCGAAGAAGCACCATCTGTTTGTATCCAACTATTTTGTCGTATATTTAATGGAACATCCTCTAATAATTTAAATAGGTGGTTTTCTAGAAAGTTTAGAAATGACTGGGAATTTAGATGGAGTGGCAAGAAGAAAGGTTCACAAACTTTATTGCGAATTATTCCGAGCCATACTTTCACAGAAAATTTGTGTTGAGAAGATCTTATCCGAATTTCATGAGCATTTTCTTATGACCAAATATCCAAATTGTGAAAATTCACTACCCCTCGCCTTGTGAACGTAACCTCATTGGTCCAAAGTATTTCTAGTAAGAATTCAAACAACCACTGATAAAAATTCAGGCGTCTCTCTACATCTCCCGGAAGTAAAATTTGCACAGGTTGTAAATGGTATGGATTTCTGCCATCCTTACGTAGAACTTTTCAAATTTTCGATTTTCTCACCCCAAGTTGCCGAGACGTTCTTCATGTACTTAGCCAAGGATCATCGTCAAATGCTTTTAAAATTTAATTTCTGTGCCTTTCATGGCTTCGTCGTGATTTTTCAAATATTGTTTTAATCCAAAAAGATGAAAGCAATGAGTGTAAAGAATTTTGTTGATGTGCTTACACATTGCAATTACTTTTAAGCATAAACATACATATTCTTGTAATATTATGGTTAAACGTGTCTGCCACAAGGGGATTGTATTGGTATGAATGGTATGAACTTGAGAACAGTGAACTTTCGGGAAAAAATTCAAGTTACCTTTTTTACGTATTTTGTGCATTAGAATATAAATCCATTATAATAGCTTATAAAAAATACAGTGGCGTAGATTTTTTTTTATAAAAAACGGGGTGACCCTATCCAGTTGTACACCACTGGTTGAACCTTTAGAGTTCATATTTTAGGCAATACAAGGTATACTGTCATACATTATCTGTACTAAATTTAATTGAAATCGGTCAATGGATTCCAGAGATATAAACAAAAAATCAATTTTTTTAACAACTTCAACACCCTGTATCTCTAAAACAAGGCCGTTCCAGACTCATGTTTATAAGGCAAACACCTACTATTTGAAAGAGATCTATCTGCCCTCGGAGTTTCCTGCATAATATTCGGACCACCCTGTATATAGAACACATCAATACTGCCAATTTTTGAGAATTTATTAAGAAAAATTGTTTTAGCTTCAGAAAAAACTGAATTTTAAATTATTTAAAATTAGAAAGTTGTATGTAGATTGATGACACTCACATCATGATGATGGTGACACTCATTTGACAATGTCTTTTTTAGGAATAGTACCTTTAGATGATTTATATAGATTGAATCAAATAATTCAGGAGGCAAATCAAAGAGAACAATACCTTGAAACTAAACTCACTGCCTTACAACAAATTGTAGATGATACACGAAAGTCTACTGAAGAAAGCTGGCAAGCTTATGTAGGAGAAGAACGTCTACTATCTAGGGTATCTGCATTAGAAAACCAGTTGCAACAAGTCAACAAAAATTGGGGTGAAGACAGACTTAGGGAAGAACTTGTTAAATTGAGAGAAGACAATGAAGCATATCAAGTAGCTGCTAAAGAAACTCTGGAAAAGTTGCATGCTGAAAGACTTCAGGCTGTGGCTTTAGCAATGGAACAAGAAAGGGCCAGAATAGCTGCTGAACAAGAAACTTTTCTTGCTAAAGAACAATTTACACAAGCTCAACTAGAATTAGAGGTAAGTTTCTAACTATGTTATTAACTGAACAATATAAATTTTGATGTATGTACAAATTTTTAATAATTTATAAAAATATTTTAATTATCAAGACTTCAAGATAAAGAATAATTTGTGTTAAAAAACCATAAGAGGAATTAAATGCATGTCAGTGCATCTTTATTACTTTTTAGGAGAAAATCACTGATAGAGTATCACGGAGGAAAGAAAAAACAAATTTTATATTTTGTTTTTTTTTATCTAAATTATTTCATTACATAGAATATTTTAGATATAGATGTTGTATTTCTAAAACGGTTTGCTGATTCATTGGTGAGAAGTTAGCAGCCTATTTTTGACAGACAAAATATTCAGCAACCAGTTTAGCATCCCTTTCTTCATTCATTTCAGCAGGCACCTAGCGGGCAATCAATTACATCTTCTCTGAGAAGTAGAAAGTATTCCCAAATGGAAACTTTTAAATAATTTTTTACAGGTCTCAGAAACAGTTATGGGATGGGACTAGGTGCAATTTAATTGCCAGATGTGCAAGTACCGAAATAACTAAAAACCAGTCACGTCCCACTTGAGGTGTAAAAACGGCCATCATTCAAGAAATTTGAAATAAATTTTTTCACAAACTCTTAAAAACAGTTAAGTATTATACGACTAAGTGCAAAGTAGTTGCTTAAGAATGAATCGATTAGAGTGGTATTTACTTACATCTCATCTGAGGAGTAGAAACTACCTTTGCCCAAGAAATTTTGATAAATTTTTCTCACCAAGTTCCAACAAATAGTTATACAATGCAACTAGTCGCAAAGTAATTGCTAAGGACAGACAAACAATCGGTTAGAATGGTATTTACTTGCGCTGCTTAGGAACGGTAGAAATAAACCTCACTCAAGAAATTTTAATTAATTTTTTCCAAAGTTCCAAAAATAGAGCAATGTGATCAGGTGCAATGTAGATGCATATAACCGCCTAGTGTGGTATTTACTTGCACTCCATCTGAAGGGTAGAGACTACCCTTACTCGAGAAATTTTTATTTTACCTATTAAAAAAAACGTTAAGCGTATAATACATTAGCAATTTTAGCTTAAAAATCTTTGGCAACAGAGGTACCTACCTGAATTATTATGACTGGTAAGTAAAAGTCTGTTTATATTCACAGTTGTAAGCAGAATGTTCACAACTGCAGTTGTCGCTAAGCGGACATCAACGATCGAACTATTTTTGTCTGCTCAAGAGAGGTGTCTGCCTAAAACAGAGATGATAAAAAAGGTACAACATGATGTAAAAATAAAATACAATATGAACATACAAACGTTTAAACAAAAAGTAACATAAATATTAATATAACGCAAACATAGTAGATTGCATTTTTTATATATTTATACAGGGTGTCTCATAATTAGCTGCCAACCCTGAACAGGCCGATTCTATGATCAAAACTAAGTAAAAAAGTTCATATGAACATGGGTCCGGAAATGCTTCCTAAGGGCACAGGGACCCATTGAAGAGGGAGGAATGGAAATCATTTTTTTGCAATATCTCTCAATCGCGTTGTGATAAATGAATGAAATTTGGTATACACAGCTAAATTTTGATGAGCAATTTGATGGACTAATCCATTTATTTCCACAAGGTCCATTGGGGTGGGTACGGGGGGGCCCTTGGTACTTTGCGTGTGTAACTTTTTCATCTTTGACTTTTTAACAAATTGGACAGCAAATTCCGTTTTCCCGAACTGTTTTACGTTAAAAAGGTACTCTTGTTTCAAATCGTTATCTTTAACGGTTTCTGAGAAAATCGCTCTTGAATTAATCCCACTTTGGTCAATTTCATAGTAATTTAAACAAAAAATAATAATAATAATTTAATACGTAATCAGTAATACACATTATTGATGTAGAACAATTATGATATGATGATTTGTTTATGGCTTTTGCGATGGTAATGCTGCGCGGCAGAACGCGAGTACGGCAGAAGGTTTCCAAACAGAAGGCTGACATCAAGGAGGACATTCCTCACTGTATTCCGCAATTTAGCTGCAACCGTCACTTTTCGAAGGGATCATAAGATGGAAACTTAATTTTGATAACAGACAACAAGCTATTTTAAAAACTGTTCAAAAAACCCTCCACCTTCTCTGATACAAAGTCTTGCCCTACGTGTAACACTTCTCGAAGCTATTAAGATGCTAAAACGGTTTTGACGAATTTCATTGGCTGCATCATTGATACGCTGCAGCAATTCCTCACGGGTATCGACTTCGGTGGCGTAAACTTTTTGATTTAGATATCCCCAGAAAAAGAAGTCCAGCGGGGTTAGGTCGGGAGAACGCGGCGGCCAAGCTACCGGTCCGTGCCTCCCTATCCACCGTCCAGCGAAATTTTCGTTTAGGAAATTTAGAACATTGCGACCACTATGTGCCGGGGCTCCATCGTGTTGAAAAAACATGTTACGTCGTAAATTTAGAGGCAGATCATCGAGAATTTGGGGAAGATTTTCTTGAAGTAAGTTTAAATAAAGATTTGAATTGAGACGTTGTGGAATTTCAATAGGTCCAATCAGAGTGTCGTGAATTATTCCCGCCCATAAATTTATGGAAAACCGTTGCTGGAAGTTTGTTCTCCGAACAACATGTGGGTTCTCTTCTTCCCAATAATGAGAATTATGAAAATTTAATTTTCCATTTCGGGTAAAAGTAGCTTCGTCACACCACAAAATTTTGGAAGCTTGCTCGTTGTCCAGCGACAAAATCCAGCGACAAAATTGCATACGTGGCGCAAAATCTTCTGGTATCAAGCCATGTACACGTCGATAGTGATAGGCATGTAGACCTTGTCGCTTTAATATTCTTCCAACCTGAAATGTTAGTAGCACATCTAATCAATTCTGTTAAGGAAATCTTTAAGATATGTAGTACCGTTGGCCGAGGAACATTTATTTGCCTTGAAATGTTCCGTATGCTAGTCGTAGGATCTTGTTCAATAGCGTCAAGGACCTCCGCTTCCCTATTAATCCTGGGACGTCCTTGACCCGGTGCCTTTCGAAAAGTGGCGGTTGCAGCTAAGTTGCGGAATACCGTAGGGAATGTCCTCCTTGATGGCAGCCTTCGGTTTGGAAACCTTCTCCCGTACTCGCGTTCTGCCGCTGCAGCATTACCATCGCAAAAGCCATAAATAAATATCATATCAACTAACTCTTGTCCCGTAAACTCTTCCATTTTTTTCGCTTAGAACTATTAAATTGGCAATCGGGTTGACAATACTTTGACATAAGAATACCTTGATAATTTTGTTTAAATTACTATGAAATTGACCAAAGTGGGATTAATTCAAGAGCGATTTTCTCAGAAACCGTTAAAGATAACGATTTGAAACAAGAGTACCTTTTTAACGTAAAACAGTTCGGGAAAACGGAATTTGCTGTCCAATTTGTTAAAAAGTCAAAGATGAAAAAGTTACACACGCAAAGTACCAAGGGCCCCCCCGTACCCACCCCAATGGACCTTGTGGAAATAAATGGATTAGTCCATCAAATTGCTCATCAAAATTTAACTGTGTATACCAAATTTCATTCATTTATCACAACGCGATTGAGAGATATTGCAAAAAAATGATTTCCATTCCTCCCTCTTCAATTGGTCCCTGTGCCCTTAGGAAGCATTTCCGGTTCATATGAACTTTTTTACTTAGTTTTGATCATAGAATCGGCCTGTTCAGGGTTGGCAGCTAATTATGAGACACCCTGTATATTTACAGGGAATGTTAAAACTTAAAAATGATTGTAAAGTTACGTTCCATAAAACTGTAAGTTGAAATTAATCAAGTAAAGTGAAAAGGCATATACATGAAACAAAAATACTTTAAGTCTCCACTCAGATAGCCTGATAACCTGATAAATTCGAAACAGTAAAGAAGTTATCATTCCATATGTAAATACCTACTTTTTACCAACTAGCTAAAGGAAATCATACACTGTAGAACTAAGAAGTAGGAATTTCTAAAATATATCTGAAAGTACTACTTACTCTACAACAGCTACTACAAGAAATACATACAGCCAGAAATTAAATAATAGGTAAAATGGAAGCATCTGAAACTCGATTGCTGTTGAAAATTGAATCTGTTAATGGAAGGGTAAAAGAATTAGAAAAAGAAAATACAATTTTAAGGGTAGAGGTAGAAAAACTAAAACGAGATAGTAATAAATCATCATCTTTGGATTAACTATACCAGCAGAAGATCTTGTTAAAGTAAGAATTGAACCTTCAGATATAAGCAATTTTTATAAACTGGGACAAACTCTTGACAGTCCAATTAAAGTTCAACTTGTAAGCTACTTGAAAAAACAGGGGATTTTAAGAAATTGTTCTAAATTAAAAGGGAAAAGTGTAACTACAAAACTTGATCAGACACTACAACAGAGAGAGGAGTCAAAAATTAAAGTCAAGTCAAAAGATACCACACCATGCCAAGGAAGCAAAAAATACTGCTATATAAAAAGAAACACACTATACATTAACAGCAAAGATTTCAAACCAGAAGATCTCACCTGTGAAGAAGAAATTGAAAAAAGAAAAATTAACAGTGATCCTGCAACTCCAACGTCAAATAAAGAAGAGTATAAAACGGAAAAGGGAAAAATTCTAGTAATAGCGCCACTCAGGGCGGAAGATATTATAACACCTGTAACGTTCAATTACCAGTTAGCGATGGAGGCACAAGAAAATTTATAAATTAAGTAAATATGGTCACCACTGTATATGCAATTCTTAACACTTTGTGAGAATTAAAGGCGGTAACACTGGTTGCATATCTAAATATATTTTATTTAGTTGAAAATTTTTTCATACAGAAAAATAAACATACATCATGTAAAATATGGGCAAATATTTATAAGTATTAATTTATGGCTTCCTATATTTCCTTAATCTCCCTTAAACTCCTTAAATTCCTGAAAAAGGCAAAGATGAGATATCTAATGATAGTAAACAAATATTACGTTAAAT